AAAACCATCAGATACAGATTCCAATATATGACCATTATTAGTTACACCACGTACAGTTGTATAGTATGTACTTCCTGGTTCTAGTTCGACTACAGTTTGACCATAACCTGAAGTACCTATACATATTGTATAAGATGTATAGTTTACCATAACATCAGATACACATACATACATGGCGACTTGTGACCATTATAGACTTATGAACAAGCCTGTTATTTGGTCACTACAAACAAATAACCAATGCAGATCAGTCAGTCTCTGGTGTATTAGTTTCTAGACCAACTCTATCTTTGACTATAATGTAATTTAAAGAGCACTTAAAACAGCTCAACACAGAACCGAAAACTAGAGCTAAATCAATGGAAAGCTAGGGTTCGGGTGGCACAAAGAAATCTTAATTATAAGCACATTACGTGGGCTTGCTGTCTTGCCAACAGTTCAATTGTATGGTGGCCTTAGTGGGGCATAATCCCCACCCGTTATTTTCATGGGATTTCACTTTCATTGATTTAACATCGTACTAATGTGTGAAATTGTTGTATGGGTGACCAATAAATATCAGCGCCCTTTTTACCATTACTGTCTGTGTGTACGAGCTGATACGATAACGTCAGACGGTATGACATAAAATTTGTATTGATCAAGATTCGGACACGGTTTAACTTCATTTCAATCTTAAAATTCATCAGCATTTGTTTGTACAACGAGAGTTTAGCGAACTGACCATAGACACCAATGCTATGGAGAACTAGAAAACTTTACCAGAAATGTCATCTCTCTCGTCATGATATAAACCCGCTGTTAAAAATGGTTGGGCTTCTTCTCCACCTGCTGTAGTTCCAATTGCCCAATCAAAATAGGAGAAACCATGTAACCGACTTTCAAATCCAGAAAATTGAACAGTAACCGTGTGAGTTTCTCTCTGGTAGTCCATGTCTACTGATGTTGGATTGGATTCAACAGTTCCTTCTGGGCCATCAAAAACAATGCCTAGTTAAATAAAATTACAAAGCATCTTCAGACTTTATAGTTTAACATATAATGTTATAGGCATAACTCTAAATTAATCCAGAAGCAACAACATAATTCAAACTATGGTGGATATTCTGACCTATATATTTAGTCCCAGCCATAAAATAATTATAAAGCAAGACGTGAGTTTTTAACAATTTTTTAACAGCTTTAAAACTACGGATACATTGTATACATAAACTCACTGTTAACATACACATGCAACAAGAGATTAAGATAATTAGAAAACCTGTTTTATCTTCGTCTACCACTATAATTGGCGTTGATATATAAACATCACTCTCTAGACCAGCGCCATCCCTAGCCTTTACACTGACATAATATATCGGGGAATTGTCTTTCGTGACTTCTAGTTGAATACCATCTATATAACCATCTCTTTCAGTTCCAAAACTTCTCCAATCTAATATCTCTCCACCCCCTGAAACAAAATAATAACTAATGATTTCAAACAGATGATACCACTTCTTCTGTTTTGAGGAATAGATATAACTTGTGTATTCATATTGGTAAGCCAGAAATAACAGATTTAAAATAATTGTGTTTGCTTTTGGGGACTTGTCTCGACAGTCTGCGACCACGGCTATACGCGACCCCATGAAATATTGTAAGTTAAATAATGTCATATTTATTTTGGGTCAAGAAATTGTATAACCGTTGATACACTATAATCAAAGACCAGTTTATGAAATTAATTATTTTTAATCACGAGTTTACACTAATATTTCACTGGCTATGATTCCATGTTATTATTGAAATTTGAACATGTCTTGATTAATTATCAGATAAGCATTCTAATAAATACAGAACTGAACTTTATCAGTTCATGTTCGGATTTAGACAAACGTGGAAAACGTGATTAAAGGTAACGGGTTTCTTGGTCATTTATTCTTAAGTACTGACCAGGGATGACAATTATAGAGACTCTATCATATTGCTAACTCTATTGAATATCAGATGATTTATTCGCCTTCATTAGCCAGATTGGGACAGAAAAGCAAAGCATTAAATACCATTTCATTTCAGTTTCTTTATTTATAGGATGCACACCTGTGCTGAAATAAAGGTTTTAAGTCGTCTCTTGAATAAATATTTACCTGGTGTCGTCCCGACTGCAAGCAAATATTTTTGAATACCGCTGACATCATCATAAGCAAACCAGGTTGCTTTTATTCCTGTTGTATCCGCCTGATAAACATAGCCATCAACACGATCTTCCTCTTCACCACTAAAAATACCAACATACACCCATCGCATCTGAAAACAGCAAACAGTTTGTGTTTCAAGACGGCAGATATGCCTTCTAGCTTAGACATGTTCCTTCTAGATAAGACGGCTGATTTTATTTTTAGATAAGACGACTGATGTTACGTCTAGATAAGACCACATATATTCCTTCTAGATAAGACGACTGATCTTTAGTCAAGATAAGACGACTGATGTTCCACCTAGATAAGGCGACAGGTGCCTTCTAGATAAGACGACTGATGTTACTTCTAGATAAGACGACACATGTTACTTCTAGATAAGACGACTGATGTTCCGTCTAGATAATGCGACATATATTGCTTCTAGATAAGACGACTGATGTTACTTCTAGATAAGACGACACATGTTACTTCTAGACAAGACGACTGATGTTCCGTCTAGATAATGCGACATATATTGCTTCTAGATAAGAGGACTGATGTTCCGTCTAGATAATGCGACATATATTGCTTCTAGATAAGAGGACTGATGTTCCTTATATATGAGGCGACATATATTCCTTCTAGATAAGGCGACATATATTCCTTCTAGATAAGGCAATTACTGCAATTACTAACCGTTGGCGGTGATTGGTCTATAAGGAAACCATTTGTATCATATGTAGAAACAGAACTAGCTCCGTTAACAGCTACTACTCGAACACTATAATGAACACCACTAATCAGTTGCTGGTCCTCAACCTGTAAACCGCCAGCTGAACCATCTTTAATTAGTTCCCAGGTGCCGGCTATCTCTATAATAAATATATATCTTTTAAATTAAATAAGACTGTCAGAATGGAGAAGTTGTATCCCGTGTATTGAAAAATATGTACCTGGAAATATTTGGATCTTTGAACCTTCTTCTGTTTGATAAACTTGATATTTATAATAATCTACTCCAGATTCGTCATCAATAAATTTAAAATTAGCCTGTATCACAGTTTCATTATACTGAAATATAAACTTGATATTTATAATAATCTACTCCAGATTCGTCATCAATAAACTTAAAATTAGCCTGTATCACAGTTTCATTATACTGAAATATAAAATTCAAATGGCACAGAACACTATATACCACTTACTACATAGCTAACACATTTGTGTTTAATATAATAATTCACAACCCGCATATGAAATATGCGTGACCTATATGAACTACTCAAATAAAAAGTTATGTGTGATGTGGGAGAGAGAAGAAAACTAATACCATGCCTCGTGTATGACATCAACCAACTTGAGCAATGTTTGAACATATATTTCTGAAACTACCTGATATTGTATGTCTTCCCCCTGTTGGTCACCATCATTAAGATAAATCAATCTAGGTGGCGTTAGATCTACAATGTAACCATCTGTTTCTTCTATAACCTGTCCTAGAGCTCTGTTTGTTGTTCTTAATTTACTCTTGACTATATCGCCATGTTTTAGGTGGAAATTGTGGTATTCAACAAACTTGGTCGAATTATCCAACTCATGCCAATCACGTACGGTTTCTATTTCATAATATTTCTTACTGAAATAAAATGAATATAAAATGAGTTGTATAACGTGTCATGTAGGTACCCAGTACATATTAGTTGCATGTATTTAAAAAGACGTGAGGTCGTAGATGGCCGATTTAAACGCTACTTTCTTTAAAATTGTACTCATTTTACTTCGTTCATGAAGAGTATGTTCTACTCCTTGAAGGCGAGATATAACGTATCGACTGCAAACTTAAATTCAGTAAGTTTTAATTCACGGCTTAACTTTCAACTAAGATCAAAACTAATCAGATGTTTAAAGACACATATCTCGTACTTATACCAAAACTAATAAGACGTTTAAAGAAACAGTTATATCACGTAGTTATACCAAATGCAACATAACTAACAATTGTAAACGTTACGGGGGTAACTGTCAGACAAGATACATAAATAAAGTCGCACCAATGTTTGATGACGTTTTTTATTGGAATATTACAACCTTGAGAGTTTTTGTACTAGACGAAAAATACATTTCATAATAATCATTGTTTTTGTCGCAGTCGTCATGGCTGCCAACCAATCATAACCTAATTCTCCATAAACGACTTTCCAAACGACAATCTTAATTGCACCTTTTCCTTGTCATTTTGACTTCGTAATGCTTAATAGATGATTCTGGATCAGTGTGGTTTCTCCACTGTGTTGATATCGTAGCCATGGCAGCACTATACTTTAAGTCAATAAAATTGTCCATCAATCCGTCCACGACTTGCCCTGTAACTGGAACGGTTAGGTCAACAATTACTGAAATAAATAAATAAACGATTTCTACCGACAAACCACAATACATTAAATTTCATCACTCTCATTTAATGAAAACAGAAACTGGTCATCATCAAAGTCAACTTCTAATGAACGTCTACACCAAATGTGAACAATCTAATACAATTAAAACAGAGTGGTCAAAAATGTGTGACGGACAGACCGACGATTATCAACTTTACAATATTCCAATAGTCAATTTCAAAAGTTGTCTTTTTCCCACAACTTAAAACCCTAACAGGAATTTCAGTACCTGTTAAGTTATTCATTGAGTTTATATCTTATAGGATGGAGTGAATCAATATCAGAAACAATGTGTGTGATTGCAAACAATTTGGTAAGACTAAATGTAGTCGACAAACAACTGACAATACTATATACCCATGTAAATGGACATCCGTTTTCAGTTGATATGTTAAAACTTTGTTTATGAATGTACACGATAGCATGCTATGAAAGTTCGCAGCCTACCTCCATTCGATTTAGCCGAAGTATTCAGTTGTATATGCCCATCATTAAAGGCCCATACTTCCATGTAATAAACCTTGTTGTGCTGTAGAAGTTGATCTGTAACATCAACACAAGCCTGGTGTGTTCCGTGATCGTATTCCGTACCCAGACTAAGATAATCATTTGTTTCCATTGACCGAACAAATAATGTAAAAGATGCAATTCCAGATTCTGGATCATAAAAGTCAATCCAATTGGCACAAAGCTAAAATAAACGAATGGCATATTCAAAGGTCTTCTAGGCGAATCTAGCAAGAATTAATTAAATATTGAAATTATTTTTAGATCATACTTTTCCTTGTAATATTAACAAAAACTGGAAGAGAATTAGTGAAATGACTTTACCTTATTATTATATTTAGTGTATGTTTGATCATGTTTGTATATCGGTCCATCAAATACTTGGCCTGCTATAGGTGGTGTAACATCTATAATCAATGGACGGTCGGACGGTTTGATCGAAGCCAACTCAACTAAAACAAACATTAAAGACAGATTGCCAGTGTACGAAACATACATCTACCACCATTTTTACCCGCCTCGGAAATCTGTATTTTACTCTGTGGATATGTAACACTGTAGATTAACTATATTTTTATTACTAAACATCATTTGTGCATAAAATAATGGAATCATATTTACGATCTCCATGCATATTAAATAGATAATGCAAGCCGTTTTTGTTCTGAGAGCAATATGTCCAGGTTAGCATATGAGTCGACGAGTTCACGTTCGGTGCATCAGTGCTTTGGGTTTTGTTAAAAATGATATTATGAATATGAAATTATTTATTGTCTGGGTTAAAGAGATAGTGCCCTTGTGTGTATGTTTAAAAATTACATAGGGACGGTAAGAGAGAGGCAAGGTGTTTAACATACACTCGACACAAACTAACATTTTATTTCAATAGTTGCGCTGCGATTTGGGGTGCTTAGCAGTGTGAGGAAACCGGAGGACCTGGAGAACAATCCTACTTCCTTTCACATACAAGCTGGGAATCGAAACTCCACTACGCGACTTAATGACAGATTTTATGACCACCCGCTCCCTCCTTTAAAATATAATATTTACCGTTATTCCATGCCCTTATTTTTGTCCATACTGGAACCCCACCTGGTAGTGATGTGTTATGGATAATTTGTCCGGAATGTGGATAACGTTTCCAGTCAGAGATGAAACAATCTTTAGTTGTTTCACCCAAACATATATCTACTTCTCTAATTCCAGATTCTGGATCTCTGATAGATATATTGATCATACAAATAAACAAGAAACAAATCCAAACAACTCTCTGATAATTCTTAAGAAACCAATTTTCAATCGCATCTGTCCGTACCATTTTGAAATATTCCACACCCCATTAAGCTTAACTAACTCCAATATATAGTTGTTAATCAATTAGGCTTAGTAAAAGCGATACGGTAATTACTGATTCAAAAGGAAGCTAATGACATTTGACCCACCTTACCCGTTATTGTATCAACAAAACAGAAATAAAATGAAATGGGGTTTAAAAAAGTGTCCTGTTATTCTCTGACTGGGTAGATGATGATGGACATACACTTTATCGTGTGCGATTAGAGCAATTTTGTCCAGACAACGCACATGATCTACTCTTATAACAAATTCCTGTGGTCTATGGATCTTTTACAAACACGCCAATTTGTACATGGGACCTCAGATCTGCATCCCATCCGAAGGACAATACGCTGTTCCTTGCCAGGCCCCTTTGTCCTACACCACTGACAAGGGCAGAATCACGCCTGCAAACCGTGATGAACTTGCTCGGCAATTGGAGCTTCAGGTTAGCAAGCCAGCGTCTTATCCGCCTAGTCACCGTGGCTCCATTGCACATATAGATTAACTCATGAGAATTGAAACCTGTATTCATAGTTCTAAAACCAAGTTATTTTATCCAGACATAGAATTAGAATACACATGATTCAAGAAAATATACTTACGTAGAATTATACTCTACGGATAAATCTTTAGTTTCTTCCTCATACTCCACATTAAATACTTCATGTATAAATGGTTTAGAGTTATCAATTATATATGGAGTTGAATGACAAATAGTTGTAGCTAATGGTCCACCATATTCTACTTTGTTTAAAGCACGAACAGTAACGTAGTATACACCATCTAATACGAAATAATGAAAAGGTAACAGTGAGGTTGATATCCCCGTCGAAAAATAAACAGATGACACTCATTAATTACTTGTACCGAGCAATCAAATTGAATGTCATTTTCCTTATCTTATGATAATTTTTGGGTCACTATGCAACTTAGTCAATGCATTTATGTAGTGAAACGTAATCCTCAAGTTTTCCCACTCTCAGTCAAAAAAAAGTCTGTATTATCCTGGATGATGCATTTCTAACTCAATAGAAAAACAAATCATCGACAAATCAAACCGGAGACAGTTCTAATGCCTGGTGGATGGATGGACGGAATGAAAGACGAGTGAACCCACTTTAATAGTCCCCTGTTTTCTTGGGCAACAAATTATAACTGTCTACTAACGAGTTAACGAAACATGATATGAAAGGTATGTTCATATTCGAACTCAATCCAAGATATTCACCCAACGAAAATATGTCTCGGCTACACAAAGTCTGAACATTATAACTCAATTGTTTTGGCGTTCCAAAAGGTGTGACGACTATGAGGAAAACTGCTTAGCATATGTAGAAGAAAATGTCCATAGCCTGCATAATGCAAGACCATTACCTAATGATCATCCCTCCTGAGCTACAAGTCAGCTTAGTATCCCCAGAATTATTGACCAATGAAATTGTTTAACTCAGTCAAGGTGTTCACCTAATAAACAACTATACCTGAAAGTACATTATCCACATCTCGTTTTATAACCCCCGTGTTAGTCCACTCTGATTCATCATATAAATGGCGATGTGGATCATGATGGGGATGGATTAACTCTTCACAAAGTTTATGACCTGCTGTAAATGAATAACCTAATAATCGGCTCTCCTTATCATGGATACCATCCCAGTTAGCTACAGAAAAGAAACATGCAAAATACATTATCTAAATATTATGGGTGAATATTCTAGCTAGATGTTGTAGTGAGTGTCGTGCACTGGAGTGGATATGCTTTATAATCTTTCTACAACATAGTACATACCATGTAACTCATAGTTCAATTATTGTTAAGCTATTATAATGTAATACGTTATGGCAAAGTCATTCAAGAAAGGAAATTGTTGGGGAGGAGGTGTTTTGAAATCAGTAGAAAACTACATAATTTTACATATTTGTAATATATTATCTCAATATTATTTATTTACCTGATATGATTCTGTTTCCTCTAAAATACACATCATCAACAAGCGGTTCATGTCCATTAAATATCGTTCTAGAACCCAACTCATCAATTATTATTCTGAAATAATATTACACATCTCAAAAAATTTCACTTGAATTGAGCAGCTTGCTTGCTGTTAGGTATGGATAGGTATAATACTAGGACAGGGGGCTCGGAAGCTTCAACGTCCATTACTCCATGTGTTAGTTATTTAATATCAAAACATAAAGTGTGCTAAATTCTAACCTGTGATTATGAACTAAATCTGATTGGTCAATACATCTGGTGTTCCATTCAGGTCTATCTGATGGTATTATATCTATACAAGATATTGTCTCCAGGTCATCATCGGTTGAGTTATTCATCAACCCTTCACCTACATAATGAATGAAAATAGTTATTAACAAACAAACCCTAACACACATAGTTGTTATATAGCTTATCAACCCTTCACCTACATAATGTATAAGATAGTTCTAATATACAATCAAACACGTTTCGTCAAATCAATTGAAAATTACCTCAACGTTTTATTCATAATTTGATTTACAGTTCTCCCATTTATATTATGCCTACCTGGTACAGGTGGTGTGATGTCAATTAAAACACCTTGTGTTGATATTATATTGCGGTAACCAAACACGTTCTTTAGATCCATGTTAAAATAATACATATGATCATGTAGTAGATTCTTGTTCTTATAAATGAATTCGTGTGCTAGACCTATCCCCAGTCTCTCGGCATGTACATAATCACCAGACTGAAAAAGAAACTAAATTGAAATAACAAAGTCCGTCAAGCGATACGTAATTGTTCAAGAACAACAACAGGAATATGGAACCAGTTCCGAGTACAAAAAAGTAAAATTGGAGTTAGTTAGACATCAGTTCCGATTTCGTATGACAACGGGGCTAATTAAGGGCATAAAGTAATAATTGCTACTCGAGTGATTACGGGGGTGTTGGGGGGGGGGGGTCTTTCTTTGTGACCAATGTTTTCATGAGGTTGGATAGTCTCGTTCAGAGTACACATTTACCACATATCATTTCAATTCAATAAATAGCAACCATGTACTCACAACTGCTAGTTTATATGCATGACCTTCAATGGCTTCTACCAGTTCACATTGACCACTGGATCCATAATCATAATTTATAGACAGACATTTCGATGATGGTAACTCCAGACACTTCATCATACAAGCTTCAACAAAGTTCATCATGCTGAATGTTTTAGCTTTTGGTGCAATCAATCGACCTCTTCTGGATGCCGTAAACATTGAACCTGCTACGTGTCCATGGGGATCACTTGCGGCTAAAATAACACAGATATTCAGTGACACTATTTTATATAGCTGTGAAATAACTTCCTAAAGGTGTTATACAGAACTTGAACTGTCAAATTAAATAAGAGTAACATTAAAAAATTATTTCCCGTTCGACAGATTACCGGTAGTTGTGTATTGATACTGATCGTTGTTAATCCTTGTCACTGTTCACTTTAAAATACGTATTAGAATTTCTTTATATATATAATACTGAATCTATTAAATTATCAAATAATAATTTCAAGTTGTGGGAAAATAAGAAAAACATACGATTATATGTTTGTGCCTCCTGATATTTCATGTTGATAGGTGTCCATCTTACAATCTCATCCCCATAGATACCACGACCATATCCAACACCCAAAGCCGTGTAAACTAATTCAGAATCTTCATATACAACCACAGAAGCTTTCAGAACTCGCGGGTTACTTGAGGTCATGAACTCTGCTTCCAGTCGTCCACCAGGTAGAGTGACGTCATATGTTGGTATGGAACACGTGACAGTGCTAGAAGCACCCTCGCTGTTTTTTCCTACTACAGTAAAATAAATTGGTACACCATCCTCTTTCAAAATCTATAATAATAATAAAATAATATTAATAACGCACCAATAAACTCTAACATTATCAGGTTACACAATCCTAAATCTAGAAACTTTGTCAATTTAGTCACACCTTGTGAAGTGTGAAGGATATCGTGTATAAAGCATATCATCTTAACTTGAATAAACATATTTGATAAAGTCAATTCAGAACCTATTTTTGCTGTTCTTTTGTGTTCAAAGGACAAAAACCCCTAACACAGTCCTTTGTTCTTTAAAATAAAAGATGAGTTTATGACATGGTATCTTACTGTTGTTATAATGGAGGATTGTCCACCCAGCTGAATCTGTCTCAAGGCATCAGAAAGACCTGGTTTAGTTCCAGCTGTTACAAATAATCTGACTTGACTTTTATCATCTTCACTACGAACCGATATTTCTATTGCTGGTTCGGTATAATCTCTGTCGGGTAATTGGCGTACACTACAATGTCTTGTGGATGTATTGATGGGTTCACCCGCTGCTCGTTTACGTCTGGCACTCTGAAAACATAATCATCAAAATACATGTACAAATTATAAAGTATTAAAGAAACGAAATGGCGTTACCAGTGCAGAAAAATGAGTTAAACGGCCAGCAGTTTCGTTATTGTTATTCATTCATATTAACCTGTCAAATCTTACTGAGGCAATTACATGTCCACAACATCCTCTTGTTTTGCACCAACCGGGCGTAAAGACGAATATACGTCATGCCACGTGCTATGAGGACATTTTTGCCCGGACAGTAGCATGTCCATATACTTTTCGTCCAAGTGTCATGGACATGGAATTTTCGTCCCAGACGAACACTTTTCAGTCCCAGCTCATACACCCTGTACCACTGACAAGATTCAACAAGACTCGAAAATATCAAAGGAACATTCGTGGTTAATATACGAACCTGGGGCCTTCTGGTTAGTGAGCCCAAGCCCAACTGCAGCCCCGAGACAATCCCCTTATTGACGAACAGCATTTGCTATTACAACCCAGATTTAATAACTGACTGACCTTTGTATCTGTGTATTCAGAAAATGTCGGTGCTGTTGAATCCTTTTCCTCGTTTTTATAGTCAATAAAACGACTTCTGATACTAGGAGTGGTATATTCCCAGATTTTTTTGGAAAAGAGAACCTTCTCGAATTTAACAATATGTGGTATTTCAATTCTAATTAGCACTCGTGCCAATAGTCTCAGTTTTAGTGGAATTAACTCCACATCCATTGTTAGCCTGAAATTATATCCTCAAAAGTCAGTTTTTGCAAAGATCAAGTAGTAGTCGTATGCTTCTAACATGGAACAGTCATATTTTCAACCCTCTATATGGCCTTTCTTTTATAGGTCTACCGGAAGAACCATGGTCAAAACAGGCAAAAATGGGAAATGACTAAAATCTAATTTCGCCTGCAAATAATTCTATGTGTTATAAGTCATCCAAAGGAAATTTACTATTTTGTGAATCAAAGGGGCAATATCTATTCAAAAATCTGAACATTTTCGTCAATGCCTTACGGCGTATTATAAATTCACATCCCTTTTTGTCAGGGGTTCTACGTCGTATGCCATAAGCGGTTCAAAGTGTGTTATGTACTATATGATAGAGGAGTATCTCTGTATCTACAGATATAACTTTCCTCCATAACCTGTTCACCAATAATTTCTCACTCTATTTGCTCCAATAGGTAATATAGGTGAATGAAGGACACATCATTGTATATAGTTTAAATACTATTTCTATATGAATTTAGGATTATGGTAATAATTTGGGATATGGACTTTACCCTTTAGGTTTATGGTACATGTAAACTGAAATTAAAATATTCAAAGGATGCATTCGTACCACTGATTGAAAGTTATATGGAGTTCTATAGTAAAATTTTTGATTGGTATCCGTACGTCTTACAAATGTTTTGTGGAACATGACAGTAGAATTCAACAAATATTCTAATGATACCTATAATATACACAAACCTACCCTATATCGAGTGGAAATTTTGAAAAGCCTATCTCTGCCCTGGTGGGAAATGATGTTGTTAGGATATACCCTTCTAGTCGTAAAGATGCATATATTATAAATCCAAGGCTTAACTCGCCAGCTGTCATTAATCCACCATATGGAACAGCCTCGCCATACACTGACATTTTCATTATTTTGGCCCCAAGTGTAATTTTCATACCATATGTACATCCAGCAGAAAATCCTGAAATGGTATTAAGAAGCAATACTGAATTGCAGTTTTGGTGATTTTTCTAGGAATAAAAGATCATAGTTTTAAGGATGGTGGCTATGTAACCACCATATTAATAACATATCAATTTGCATGTTGTTGTCATAACATCAGGATAATTGATAATTGTATTATACTTACTAAATTCAACATAGAAAAATCCACCAAGAAGAAAACCTTGAGATACCTCGAAAAATGTGAGCTGTTGACGTGGAAAACTAAAATCTCCTTCCAATTTTACGTCGCTTGATTTGAAAACATTAGTTGTTTCCCCACTAACAACTTTATCTATTATATCAGCGTACTGAAAAAACAGCCAGGCGAATACAGAACATAAGTCGGCAGTATATAAATTAGCTCGAATCTCTTTCAAATCACATAATTATTCATCCCGTTTATTATTCTGAATTGCCGATCAGTTTCAATATTTGTTACGGTCCAGGCGAGGTTTTGTGGGAAGCATCATCATGGACGTGAAGCGCGCAGCAAGTGTGAATTACTTTAAATCTAAACTGAAAATCTAAAGTGTAAATGTTATATTGGTGGATAAACAACTTGTCCGTTCACATGTTTTTTTGGAAAATTGAAAAAGTACTTCCTGATACTAAATTCAAATAAACACCTGTCATATTATGTGTTCATGGCGTGATCACTACACACCCAACGCCCACAGTAACCATAGCCTACATATCTTACTGCTGTGTAACGTACAAAAAACACTAAGTAAAAGATAACTCCTCGTTACTGAGTAGAGACCTTACTACTGGTGTGTTTACTGGAACCATTTAATATACAAATATATCACTTATTTTCAAGTATACTTTAATTTTGTTGTCACGTTCTATTGAAACGATGAAGAGGCATAAAGGCCGTGGTAATAACGGTGCGGTTTATTTGCAGGCCCGTTTGAGAGAAGATGGCGTTGGAATACCTGAAAACCAACTTACCAAATCAAGTGCTAAGTTTCGTAAATCATTCACAAGTTTTACGACCATTTCCGGGTCTATGTTCTTTGCGTCAATCAAGGTGACAATCTCACCCATGGTCATATTTGCTAATTTAGCAC